ACCTCCTGGTTCATAGGTCGACACTCAACCACTGAGCCACACCAGCTGGACCTCCATTGATTTTTAGAGAGTGAAAACGAGGAGAAGAGACAAGAGAGAAACATCTCTCATTGATTGGTTGCCTCCTGCACACACCCCGACCAAGGCCAGGGATCAGTCCTGCAATTCAGGTATGTGCCCTTGACTAGAACTGAACCCAGGACCCTTCAGTCCACAGGCCAATGCTCTATCCACTGAGCCAAATCAGCTAGGGCTGACTTAACCATTCTTAAGTGTACATTTCATTGGTATTAAATACATGCACATTGTGCAACCAGTAACTCCCCATTCTTCCTCCCCCAGCCCCTGGCAACGCACCACTATACTCCCCAGAAATGGCAAGAGATATAAAGCTGCAGATTCAAGAATCTCACAGGACCTCAAGAGAAACCCAAAGAAAGTCACACCAGGACCCTGCATAGTCAAGGATACTTAGGAAAACTAAAAATAATCCTGAAAGCAGCAAGAGAAATGATGCCTATAGGGAAAAAAATTTGAGTGACACTTCTCATCAGAAACCATGAGGTCAGAGGAATGGTACATTTACCAAGTAGCAAAAGAAAATTACTATCAACAAAGAATCTATACCCAGCAAAAAATATCCTTCAGGAATTAGCAAGAATTTAGGCATTCTCAGATGAAGAAAAAGTAGGAGAATTTGTTGCCAGTAGACCTATCCTGAAAAGATGGTTGAAGTTCTCTAAACAAAAAATTTTTTTAAAGGAAACTTAGAATATCACAAAAGAAGAAGGATCAACAGAAATAGCAAAACTTGGGTAAATAAAATACTTGCCTTCTCCAGTTTTCTAAATTATGGTTGATTGTTAAAGCAAATGTTACAACATCGATGTGGTTTTCAACATAGGAAATACTTAAAGCAATTGCTTTATAAAGGGGAGAGAGCAAAGGGATCTAAACGGGAGATTTCCACACTTCTCTCAAACTGGTAAAATTTGGACAAAGTATATTGTAACGTATAATGTAATTATTGGACTGACAACTAAAATGATAAGCAGTGCACCCAAAAACACTGTAGAGAAGTCAAAATGGAATTCTAAAAATAATTTTCAAGCAATCTGGAAGTCAGGAAAAACAAAACAGAAAACAAAAAAAAAATAAAGTGAGACGTAAGCCCTAGCATACCACAAAGTGCATTAAGTATAAATGGTCTAAATACATCTGTCAGTTAAAAGACAGAAATTGGCAAAGTGGATGAAAAAACGTGACCTAACTATATGCTATCCACAAGAAACTCACTTCAAATTTAACAGTATAAGTAGGTTGAAAGTAAAAGGATGGGAAAATGGTAAATATGCAAACATTACTCAAAAAAGAAGTGGCAAAATAAAGTAACTACAGTAGGTCCTTGGGTTACGTCAGAGATCTGTTCCCACAGCGCTTTTCGCTGTAAGTCGGAACCCACCTACATAAGTACCTACATCACTCACATGGAGCACATACACAGCAGTAATGAAACAGTAAAAAAATTTAAAAGATAATTCCTGACCTTTACTCATGGTAAATAAATAATAAAAAACATAAAGCATATATGTACATATGTTGAAATGATGGAATTTTTTTTTTTTATAAATAAGTGGGAGATGGCCACGAAACGACATTCGTCGAGTCCGACGTAACCTGAGGACTGTCTGTATATTTGATATCAGGTACATTAGACTTCAGAGCAAAGAAAGTTACCAAGCACTTTGCTGTCCAACTGAATATAATTTTAAAAAAAATTACCAGGTACAGCCATAGCCGGTTTGGCTCAGTGGATAGAGAGAGCATCCACCTGTGGACTGAAGGGTCCCAGGTTTGATTCTGGTCGAGGGCACATGCCCAGGTTGTGGACTCAATCCCCAGTAGGTGGCGTGCAGGAGGCAGCCGATAAATGAATCTCGTTATTGATGTTTCCATCTCTCCCTTTCCCTTCCTCTCTGAAATCAATAGAAATATATTTTTTTAAAAATCACCAGGTACAGAGGACATTACATAATGAAAAAAGGTTCATTGCACCAAGAAGACATAATCCTAAATATGTACTCACCAAACAACAGAGCTACAAAACATGATGCAAAACCTAGTAGAATGGGAAGAACAGAAAATCCACATTTTTACTTGAAGACTCCAACACCTCTTAACAACTGGTAAAACAATTAGAAGAAAATCAGCAAGGATGTAGAACTTAACACCAACAATCAACAGGATCCAATCAGAATACTCCCCAACAACAGGATACACACTCTTCAAATGCCCATGGAACATACGTAAAGACAGATCATATCCTGGGCCATACAACAAATCTCAACAAATGTAAAAGAACTGAAATTATAGTATGTTCTTTGGTCACCGTGGAATGAATCCCTGGGTTAAAGATGTAAAAGTTTCCCTCTTAAGATCAGAGACAAAGATGTCTGCTTTTATCACTTCTATTTAACATTGTACAAGAGGTTCTAGCCAGGACAATTAGGGTGAAAGGAAAAGCATCCAGATTGGAAAGAAAGAAGTAAAAGTATTTGTAGATGATATGGTCTGGTATACAGAAAATGCTAAGTAATCCTCTAAGAGATTACTAGAGCCAAATAAACAGCAAGGTTACTGGGTACAAAATCAGTTGATGATAATTGCAATGAACAATCTAAAAATCAAGTTAAGAAAACGATTCCCTCTCCTATAATGTCTCTAGAAATTCAAAGCAGCCCCAGCTACACTCTCTCCTGTTGCTTCTTCTACCTTTCCTTGTTTCACTGTCCCCAGCTTTAATAAACATCCTCTAAAATTAAAAAAAAAATTCCACTTAGCATAGTGTCAAAAAGAGTAAAATACTTATACATATATTTAGCAAAATAGCCCTAGCTGGTTTGGCTTGGTGGATAGAGCATTGGCCTGCGGACTGAAGGGTCCTGGGTTCCATTCAGGTGGAGGGCACATGTCCAGGATTTCGTAGGCTTGATCCCCAGTAGGGGACATGGCGGAGGCAACCCATCAATGATTATCTCTCATCATTGATGTTTCTATCTCTCTCCCTCTCCCTTCCTCTCTGAAATCAATAAAAATATATTTTTAGAAAGGTTTTAGCAAAATAAATGCAAAACTTATATTTTGAAAACTGCAAGACATTGTTGAAAGAAACCAAGTAACCAAAACAGTCTTGAAGAGAGTTGAAGGACTCACACTTCTGAGTTCAAACCTTAACCACAAAGGTACAGTAATCAAGACAGTGTGATATTAGGGTAAGGATAGAAATATAGATCAGCCCTGGCCAGGTGGCTCAGTTGGTCCAAGTGTCATCCCGATCTGCCAAGGTTTCGGGTTTAATCCCGGTCAGGGCACATACAGGAATCAGCCAATGAGTGCATGGATAGGTGGAACAACAAACCGATGTTTCCTCTCCCTCTAAAAAGTCAATTTTAAAATTTCAAAATATATAAATGAAAGGACAAAACAGGACTGATAGCTGTGTCCTTAACCCCTCTTCCAAGAAAAAGCCGCAGAATGTATCAGTTACTCAGCCTGCCCTTATCTTGGCCAATGGGAAAGTGGGGAAAACTAGCCCAAGGCCAAGAGTATGCTAGCCACCCCCCTGTCTTTGTGTAACCATACTCTAGCTGCACCCTGCCCTTGCGTCACTAGCCCCCGGCCCTCACTCAACCAACCGGAATCGACCAAATCAGTGGTCAGAGTGTGCCCCCACCCCCCAATCCCAAGCCCTATAACAAAGGTACAGTAATCAAGACAGTGTGATATTAGGGTAAGGATAGAAATATAGATCAGCCCTGGCCAGGTGGCTCAGTTGGTCCAAGTGTCATCCCGATCTGCCAAGGTTTCGGGTTTAATCCCGGTCAGGGCACATACAGGAATCAGCCAATGAGTGCACGGATAGGTGGAACAACAAACTGATGTTTCTCTCCCTCTAAAAAGTCAATTTTAAAATTTCAAAAAAAATATATAAATGAAAGGACAAAACAGAACTGATAGCTGTGTCCTTAATCAAGCAAAAGCCATAGAATGTATCAGTTGCTCAGCCAGCCCTTATCTCAGCCAATAGGAACGCAAGGAAACTAGCCCAAGGCCAAAAGTATGCTAGCCACCTCCTGTCTTTGTGTAACCAGACCCTAGCTGCACCCTGCCCTTGCGTCATTAGCCCCCGGCCCTCACTCAACCAACCGGAATCGGCCAAATCAGTGGTCAGAGTGTACCCCCACCCCCCAACCCCAAGCCCTATAAATTCTTTGTTCTCTTGGAACTCGGGGCTCTCTCTTGCATCCAGTAATGGAGGCAGGAGGGGGACCAAGTCCCGGGCTTGAATAAAAGACCCTTTGCTTTTGCATCGGAAAAGGCTCCCTGGTGGTGGATTATTGGGGACCCCGAACTCTGGGCATAACAATAGATAGATCAATGGGATAGAATGGAAAGTCCAGAAATAATGCCTCATATATCTGGTCATTTAATTGTCAACAAGAGTGCCAAGACAATTCAGTGCAGTAAAGAATCATCTTTTCAATAAATGGTTCAGCCCTGGCTCGTGTGATTTAGTTGGATGAATGTCACATTGAAAAGTTGCTGGTTTGATTCCCAGTCGGGGCACATACGCAGGTTGTGGGTTCAATCCCTGGTTGGGGCGCATGCGGAAGGCAACAGATTGATGTTTCTCTTTCATATTGATATTTCTCTCCCTTCTCCAAAATCAATTTAAAAATTTTTTTTAAAAGTTCATATTCCTTAAAATAAAATATTTCAAAGACAACTGGGTATCCACAAAAATTCATCAAAATTAAAAACGGTGCTTTTTAAAAAATATATTTTTTTATTGATTTCAGAGAGGAAGGGAAAGGGAGAGAGAAAAACATCAATGATGAGAGAGATCACACCTCGGTTGAACGACCCGTCCACGCCCTCATTTACTCCCATATTTATGTACTGACTTTATTCTGCCCAAGGAAGGAAGTGGCCCAAGAAAGGGTGGGAACCCAAGGCGGCGCCGTTGTCATGGAAACACGTAGCTCCCAGCTCCCAACTACAACTCCCAGCGGCCCGCGCGGTTTCCGGCCGGCAAGATGGTGGCGCGCAGGAGGAAGCGTGCGGCGCGGGACGCCGAAGAGGGGATTCCGAGCCCTCCTGGCTACTCAGGTGAGGGGCCGCGGGACTGGCGAGAGGCCGCGGGACAGG